ATGCCTACTAGTGAGTAAGTTGCAGTTACTACCACAGCAGAGATATTTTTGCCTTAAATATTCGAAGTCATCACCCATCGCTGTAGTCAGTGACATCACCACCGAATAACTTGAACTACAAATGATATTGTGTAGTGATCCAGTCGATACACTGAGTGATCACTGAATGGCAATCAACTTCACGTTTTACATTCATGATCCGTGACCACATGTGATTTATTACCTTGGCTTCTAAACATCCAACAACACTTTAAAGTGCACTGTAAAAGTGATTCCTTTGCGCGCTTCTTGGACAGAGAAAAGTCAGCATTAAAAATTAAAATACACTATATTAAGTCTTTCCTCACTGACTGACCAAATTAAACCAATATTTATACTGGTAATTGTTTTAGTGTTGCTCAACTGCCACAGAGAAAATGAACATCTGAGACTGTAATTGAGTAACATTAAGATGACACATTATTTTACAGATTATTTTTCTTATTCTTTTTTACTGTAGCTTGACTCTAAATAGTATTTTTGATACAAGTATGGAATTTTCAGCATGTAATATCGGTAGCCCAAATTTAGCGGTCCGACCATTGATATAAGGTATGTGTCAGCCTGGGATGGGACCCGGAACCATGTGCATGGTCAGCGAGTGGCCTAACCGCTATGCCACCGACTCACAATTATTTAAAAAAGCAGTCATAAAAGTTCCGGCTTTTTCTTTCAATCAGAGAAAGATTAATCATACCATGAAATCAGCTGCTCTCGATTTTAAGTATTCTAAGATAAAGTTCTTAATTTTAATTAATTTTTTCTTTCACGTCCCCAGTGAAACATAAGGCCTCAAACTAGTGGACTGAAGTTTCTGTAGCAGTGTTTATTTTACAGGATGGGGTTGCTAGTCTCATGCCCAACTTTTCCTCTTTACCAGCATTATTTCTAGCTTAGCGAGGTTAAGGAATGCGTCCGTGGTTGGGGATCGAACTCTGGACCATGTGCATGGTCAGCGAGCCTCCTAACTGCTGTGCTACCGATGCACACAAGATAAAGTTCTTAGTGTAACGGAAATCAAAATCCTTTTTCAGTCTACAAATTAACCTTATTATATACGAGTGTATGCACGTATATACAACTATATTTTGTTGTGAAGTTTACTAGCTTAGAAAAATATTTCAGAATAACAGACTTTATATATATATCTATATATATATATCTACATATATATATATATATATATATATATATATAATATATATATATATATATATATAACTTGTTACTTGTAGTCAACATGTTACTCAGTGCCTGATATTGCTATAAGTCATTGAACGTGTTTATTTACATAAGTGCTAGTCAACATATGGTAAATTTCATACATTTGGTTCCTTTCATTAGTGTTGAAAAAGAAAAAATGAACATATTCGCAGGATAACACAAGCTGCTTTTACCTCGAGGATTATTTTCTTATTAACTATGTACATCCCAAACAATATCAAAATATAACTTAGAGGGATTCTGCACATACCTCTCCCCCAATGAAGTTGAGTTCTGGATAAAAAGTATGTCCAAAATGATGTAAGTAAACAAATTATTCAGTGGTAAGAAGCTTACTGTTTATAGTATAAATAGACGAAAGGGAGGAGTTCGAATTTTGCTTAGAAAAAAGATTGACTGGAGATAGAATAAAATACTGAACCATGGTGAATTTATACACAATATGGTGGAAGGCTTAAGAAAGTGGTAGTGAATATTAAAAGTAAAAGTACTAAGATGAAAGTAGTTGAAATTGAAGTGAATAATATCCTTTTAAATACCATTCGGTTAAAAAAGTTAAGGAAACCTGTGTACTATTAACTAAGACAAAGATTTTAGTGCTGATGTCAAGATTCCGGATAAAAAGGCATCAACAATCGATTATCAGAGAAAAGTTGAAGAACATGCAACATACAACTGATCAGAAGTAGAATCAGATATGTTAGAGAAGATTTGTAGCTCAGGTGGATGATTTTGATGTGGTTTTGTTCTCTGAGCTAGATGGTTAATTTGCAAAGATTTCATCGCCCTGCTAGACGACATCTTCAGCGCATACTTCAATTTGAAGTGAGCTTTTAGATTTCTCCACGAGTTTATTAATCATCCCTCCTGGTGACCTTGGACGTGATTGGATGTTTTTGTGGGTTTTCACACCTTCTATGTTACGTATATTGAAACTGATTGTTTCTTTGACTTGAACTTTGACCCTTTGTGTGTGAAGTTTCTTTCTTATTGGTTGATAAATTTTGTCTATCTCGATGTGTCTATTGATTGATGATTCACTGGAATGCCAAGCTTCTAAAAATTCTCTAGCATTCTTGTTGTTTCCTCTGTCTAATATTTGAACGTTGTCCCAGTCGAATTGATGTCCGTGGTTGTTTGTGTGTAGTGAAATGAGGGAGTGGATATTATGTCTTTTGACGGCTAGCTTATGTTCGTGGATACGAAGACGAAGGGGACGTCCACTTGTTACAATTTATTTTGTAGATGATATTGGTTTTATCTTCTTTCGCTGTTGAGTATTGTGGTTGACATAGAATTGAGTGAAGTGACTTTGCTGGTTTGTGTACGACGTCAATTCTTAAAGGTTTGAAGAGTCTTGTAGTGATTTCTGAGATATCCTTTATGTATGGTAAGGCGATTTTGGGCTATCCTTAGGGTCTTTTGGTTCGATAGGTTGGCTTGGGGGTATATGTCTTTTGATGAAATTTTGTGGATATCCATTCTTTTGGAAGACACCCATGAGATATCTTTCTTAAATTTCCCTTAAGGTGGGAGTGCTGCAATGAGTCCTTGCTTTCTTGAATAGTGTTTGTATACTATTCCTTTTGTGTGTTATTGGGTTGTTGCTGTTGTAATTCAGGATTTGGTCTGTGTGAGTTGATTTCCTATAAACTTGAGTTTTCATACATTTGGTTCCCTTGACAAATTTTGATAGAGAAAGAAAGACCAGATTTGCAGTATAAAATGATATCATTCTATTTCACAGGCTCTCATCAGCTGTAATTTCAGGTAGTTTGCAGCTGATGAGAACCTGTGAAATAGAATGATATCATTTTATACTGCAAATCTGGTCTTTCTTTCTCTATCAAAACTTGAGTTTCTAATTCTCCTGCGGTTGTTCGCCTGACTAAGACGTCCAAAAATGGTATTTTGTTCTCGGATTCCTCTTCTCTTGTGAATTTGATGTCGTTGAATACGTTGTTTATTAAGTTGTGAATTTTATCTAACTCGTTTCTTTTGATTATTATAAATGTGTCGTCGACGTAACGTATCGAAATCTTGGGTTCGATCTTTGGTAGAATTATATTTTCGAGTCTTTGCATCACTGCTTCTGCAATTAAGCCTGATATTGGCGATCCCATGGGTGTTCCTTTGACTTGTTCATATATTTGGCCGTTGAATTGGAAGTATGTTGTTAGGCATAGATTTATGCATTCCATCCAGTTTGTGTGTTGCATTTTTGATTGTTGTGGCAGTTGTTCGTCGTTGCTAAGTAATTGCTCCATGGTTTCTTTTGCTAGTTTTTGTCCGATAGAGGTATATAATGCTGTCACGTCAAAGGATATCATTATTTCTCGTTCATCTATTTGGATGACTCTGAATTTTTCTAGGAATTGGATAGCAGAGTTGATGTATTGATCACAAGATGCCGTTAGGTGTTTTAGTTTTCTGTATAATTCTTTGGATAAATTATATGTTGGAGTTCCTGGGAGTTATGCAATTGGTCGTAACGGGATATTTGCCTTGTGTATTTTGGGTCTGCCGCGGAATCGAGGCAGGACTGCTCCATTGAATTTCATCAACCATTGGTCTTGTTTTGGGATCTGTCCAGTTTTAGTGAATGCATCAATCTCGGTAAATGAAATATTTTTCAAATTTTGTGGATTCTTGAAATTTAGTTTCTCTCATGGGATTGATTAATATCAGAAGTTCATTTCAAAAGTCCAGATTCTCCTTCCACATAGGAAAATTTTTGAAAGGATTTAAGTGCAGTATTGCATTCTTTTAGCTAATTTCTACTGATATTACTTTATCTGAGTGTAGACTAATATATGGCGTCAGCGCCTTAGTGTTAGAATGCTCACTAGCCTTGCGTGTGTTCCGGGGTTCGATCCCCGGAAGATGAACCTCTTTATCTCGCTTGGCTGTTAATAAGCCCTGCAAAAAGAGAAAAGGTTAAGCATGAGAATAGCAACCCCACCTCGTAAAAATAACCACCATTGCAACTGAAACTTTAAAGCTGTAGCCTGAAGCCCTATGTTCCGTCCGGAACGCAAAGGAATGATAAAAGAGTAACATACAAATATAGTCTCATCCAATTTCACAAATTATTGTTCTTCCAAAGTATGTAATTTATTGTACACTCTTATTCTGGTTTACGTGGGTGCTTCCACACTTGATCTCCTACTGCTCATCAAAAATAAAATAAGGCGACGTCAAAACATATTTAATAAACTGTCATAGAGTAAATAATACTACGTCACTGTGTAATATATCTGATAAAAATACTAATACGGGATTACATGTTGACACAGTGTTAAAATTCTACTTATATGATATTTTGACGTATATAATGGTCTATATTGAGTGACTGAGATCTTTATACAGTAGGTCAGCATTTATTTTGTGTCACACTTTGCAGGAGTAAAATAAAAGCTGAGAAAAGACATGTGATGAAAGTACAATAGTGAGAGATTTACAAGAGTACATAATCAAATGAAGATTCGATGAGATAGTATGGGTAACAGTCTGTGTTACAACTAAAAACGGAAAAATATCTCGCTTATGTTATTTACAGGAAGTCACCGCTACTACATATGCATATATATATATATATATATATATATATATTGTATGTAATATCCTATTCCTGAATATACATTAATTTTCGAATGTCTACTCTGCAATTTACTATCGATCAATGCTAAATTGATCAATATGCAACGTATTCAAGTTATTTGTCTACTACTTATATTATGTCGGAGGCTAAGAAATGTATACCAAGAAATGTAAATGTTGTTTAACTTCGCTAATTTTTCTTTTTAACTTTCGTATTCATCTATACTACCGTATACATTTATTATGCTTGTTTCATTTCTAATCATATCCTGACGAAAAATAATCTTCAGTTTAAATGTTGTCTAGGTTGCTAACGAACCATGGTACGATAGACTTTATCACAATAAAACTATGTCTTCAACAATAAAATATGTAATTTATAAATTTATAATATTCACTAACAGAAAACAATCAAATTGTAAAAGGTTAATTTTAAAAATCCAGAAGCGCCATTAGATAAATTAGACTTTGCTCTGAAATCAGTCTATGATCAAGTGAATGAATGGAATAAAGGAAATGATGAAGTTTACATACAACCTGAAACATTGAGAAAATTAACTAAAAGGAGGTGGAATTGATTAACGGTAAACCTTTACCACCACTTACAACTAAGGATGAAAATGAGTAAGTTATCTGGAATTCACTTTCATCATTAGATTTTATCAGTTTTACCATAACAGCTTTAGTTTTAAATCCCACTTCGCCTATTTATGTCTGCACCACTGGCAAGTGATATAAGCGGTTCTGCATCAATTATTTCTAATAATTTTCAAGTATTGGTTTTGTAAGGATTTTGTTTCATTGCATAGAGGATTGGCAGAAGTTAGAATTCAAAGACCATTGGATCGGGTCCTAGTGGCTCAATGGTCTACGTGCTCGCCTTGTAACCAGAAGTTCCTGGGTTCGAACCCCGGTGTGTGCGTACTGTTGAAGAGTCCCAGACTAGGACGAAACAGCTGTCCAGTACTCTCAGGTTTTCCGATGGTTCTCTAACTAATGTCGGCTGATGATGAAATCCTCCATGAAATATTTCTAATAATTCAACTTTAAAAAAAACATTTATTCAGATTCAAATAACAATTACTGAATCAGATCATAGGATTTTTGAGGATTTTGGATTAATTTCAGTTGTTAGATTTTTGTGATTAACCAACATAAGTTAGACAGATCACTGAAAACTAGAGGGCACTAGACAAGTGTTTCGTCCTATTCTGAAACTCCCCAGCAGTGCACACTCATGACCTCACCGTAGATCGAACTCAGGATCTTCAGGTTACGAGACTGAGCTCGCTGATCATTCAGCCACTTAGGCCCAAATTCATTCACTCGTGGATTCTAACTTTATTAACTCATGACATTCATGAATAATTGCCATTCAGACATTCATGAAAACAAAACACATAGTTCAGCGAAGAGGTTCTTTTCGGTGAATTCATTTTCCCCTTTAGCTATACAATCGTATTTATTCACGATGTTTTTCATGGAAGCGAGTAGTAATAGAAGTGATGAGTTGCCACAATCATAATTTTTAGTGTTAGTCAGTGCATAGGATGAAGTGAGTTACGCAATATGATGAAAAGCTTAGTGAATGAGCTGTGATCAGGACTCACACAAAGACAGAGAGAAAAGAGAAGTTACTTAAGAGTTATAAGGATTTAGAAGAAAAACAAGAATCAAGTAAGTGACAATTAACAAGACTGTTACCACTATAGCAGAAATAGTTGAGTTATTTTTTTCCTGATATAGTATGAAAAGACTGTATGTAAATGCGAATGGGCAGCTAAAGGGAGAAGTGAATTCGCCAAAAAAGTTTCTTCTCCAACACTGTGAAATAGCGCTGCCGTCACCAGTTCTTTCCATGGCTATCCGCTCCACCTTGACATGCTGGTCACTGAATTCCATCCCAAGTGACTGAATGGTCAACGAGATCAGTCTCGTAACCTGAAGATCCCGGTTTCGATCACTGATGATGTCTCGGGTGTGTACTGATGAATAGCTTCAGAATAGGACAAAACAGTTGTCTGGCACCCTCTAATTTTCATTGATTTTTCTAAATGATGTTGGTTTGTGATGAAAACCCAACAATTGAAATTATCGAACCTTAATGCAAGGTGAAAAACGTAGTCTATACTAATCATCGTGCATTACATCAACAGTAGTTAGTAAATCCCCAAGACTAATCCAATGGGTCTCATCAACAGAGTCGGAATCATTCTTGAAATTTTAACAGTTGAAATTATACGCTGAAGTTTTCGAAGATCATAAATGTTTTTGGCGAGTTTTATAGCTAGTAATTCACTTCAAAGACTTCATTCCGATTTATACCGTGATTGTCCATTTATCTAGTTCACAGCTTTCTTTATTTGATATTTAATATAAATAAAATCTTTTTCGCTCACATTGGTAGAAAAATTCATTTGTTTTCAAGAAACAGATGTTATCAGAAATGATTCTATGATTTCTATTATTATTATTAGTTATAGTCTCTTAGAAAATGGATATTGTTATCCTTATCGTTACTTAGTAAACAATTTCATTAATAATTCTAAAAGTTTACTGTTTCATCCATTTATCATGATAGCTCAGAAAAACTGGAGTTTGATTTATTTCACGACCTTGAAAATTGACTTTATTCAGGTATACTGTAGGGAATTATAAATATTTTATTTTGATAGGTATAATTATAGTTAACTGATCATAACTGTTTTGTATGAGTAGGCTATTTATTACCTTTAGGCTGGATAATCAAGTCGGATATAATTTGATTTGGGTTGAAGGAGAGGAAAACAATTTACAGTTATTCTTTCCGAATGGATTCTATCTCATGGTTATACTTTCTTTTTCAATCACAATTACGATTTTCATTTTAAACTACGAAGTGAAATAATCACAAGTAATTAGATATTTGTAGGAAAGAAACTTACTGCCAATGTAACAAGTTTAAACACAAATTTTAAAAAAATAAAACTTGTGATTTACCACCTATTACTACTACTAATACTACTGAAGATGATCTAATTCTTTCACCTAATTAACTGCCCCCATATCTGTTAAGCTAATTAACTTGTTAAGTAGTTAACTAGTTTAAAGAATTTAAAAAAAAGCTACCAGTGGGTTGTTCATTTCTTAGAAAGGGCTGGTTTTAAAACAGAATGAACTTATTCATTAAATTTGTAAATGAAACACTCTATCAGCTAGTGAAACCAGCTGAAGAGAGAAGGTTTAGAAACAAGCACCTGACTGAAGTTTCCGGTTTGGCATAAGTTTGGCACGTATTGCCAAATTCTAAAGACGATTGTAAACAACTCCTGAGTTTGTCAAAAGATAATTAACCAAATGGTAAAAATGTTGACAAGATGCCAGCTAAGTCTCGATACTCAGTGTCATTCTCAACCTTGTTATTTAACATTATCATCAGTTTTCAAGTTATACAAATATCCAAACTTTGTTTTTGTCTAGCTATTCATTGAAATAATATTTACAGCCGGAGAACATATAATAATTCTAAATAAAATGTTGACTGAGTGGGAAAAATGCAATTGAATGGCTTTCTAGACAGGCATACCAGAACCCTTATTTAATTGAATTTTAGATTTTCCTATCGATTGATTGGACCGAAGTGCTCGGTCTCAGGTTGGCATGTCGGCTTCTTCTGCAGATGTTTCGACTATGTCTGTGCATGTAACTAGAATTTTAATTGGTGTATGGTGACTAGCAGTGGAGTCCAGGATGCGCATTTAGTCCTATTTGGGATTCGTCAGCTGGATGTGCCTGCATTCCCCAATGAGAGATGATGTCCCCACCGAGGCCGAGCACTTCGGTCCAATCAATAGACGGGAAAATCTAAAATTCAGTGAAATAATTAGTATGACCCGTTGCACAAGAAGTGGCTCTCGTGGCCCAAGTGGTCTAGTGGATAACGCTCTGGCGTTTGAAACTATGGGCACTGAGTTCGAGCCTCGGTGGTGGTAACATCATCACTCACCGGGAAATGCAGGTAAATTCAGCTGACGAGTCCTAAACAGGACTAAATGCACATCCTAGATTTGACTGCTAGTCACCATACACCAATTAAAATTCTAATAACAGAATCCTATTGATGCTAATGAACATGCTACGATTTTATTTCGATTGTGATCATCACAACCCAAGCAATGCCCTAGTTACTACTAACATATACTTTTGTGGCCTTTTAATTCTACTTTTTAATCAGGAATATTTAAATTTAATGCTAAACAGCATAACTAAAAGCTTTCAAAAGACGTAAATGCGTAAACTTAAATTCAAAGTGTTTTTAACTGGAATTCTGAGTTTTCTACATCTCTTCTGTCCTTAGTGTAAACACGTATCCAAACTCTGGAGTTTCTGTAGCATTAATGTTGATTTTACAGGGTGGGGTTGCCGACCTCATACACAGCCTTCTCCCCCCTCCGAGCTTACTGTCGACTGGCGAACTAGTAGAGGTTAAGGAGCGTAGCAACCACGGATTGAACGCACACATCCTCCATGGCGAACATCCTATCACTGAGTCACTAACGCACTGTTTGACAACAGTTCTCAAGGCGTAAGATTTGTTTTGATCAAAATTTATCACTTGTGTAAACTTACATCACAGTGTCAGCATCACGTCAGCACTTCAACTCAGTAAGAAAGTTTTTAACTGCCAGAGTATTACCTACTTACCCAGTAGTATGCAACGTGTCTAATTCAACACACATTATTTTGCTAATGAGATATTTTACTCATTTCATTTAGTCAAATTATGCAATGAAATGACCCATCTTTGTAAAACATAGTTGAAGACAATCGGTTGCAAGCCAAAAACTTAGACTTCGTGCTTTTTGATGTTCTTCAGCAAGGTGTATCTATCTGATATTCGAACCCAGGTGATCCAATGCTGCAGGAAAGACATTACCAACTAGCTATTTGGGTTGGTGCCATGATGATTAGCCACCAAACTTGACTGATACAATTCAGTCTGCACAAAATCAATGATTTGATTGGTTTCCACCCATTGGTCAGTCAAAGCAACCTCTGTATATTATTGTCATGAAAGTATTTAGATTAAGAGGCAGTTTGTCAACAGTCAGTTCACTTCTAGAAAAGACTAAACAGCTCTTTAATTAAAAATGTTTACATGCAAGAAAAGCCGTGCAAAATCGCAGTAAATTTTCAGTCAAATTCAAAGTTGTGTACCGTGAATTTAATCGAATTCCATCCAAACTAATGACATATCTTGCCCATGAAACAAGAATAAGTACATTTCTAAATAAATGTTAAAAAATTTGTCTCTCTTGGGCTCTTAAAAGTTAACCTAAGAAACAGATTATCACTATTGCTTGGCTTTCAATGGTTTCCTAACTGATGTTAGTTTTAATACAAAGAACATATCAGAATGTCACACAACTTAATGGTCATAACGTTTTATATCTTAGTAAAGAAGAAAATGATTTCTTGAGAAGACCATTTTAACATTTGTTAATTATCATACAAAAATATTTGTTAATTTCGTTCAAAGGAACCTAGTCAACTTGCAGCATAATACTAAACACAATGGCAACCACGATTTATTATGTATTAATGTTGTAAGAGCTCAGCTGTCAAGGACCAGGCTATGAGTTACATATAAGGTGAATTAGGTGGAGATGGCGGGATTTGGATCCATGACCCTTTATATGTTTAGTACATAGAATTATCCAACAAACAGTAAAGATGTCTAGAAAAGTTTCTTACTAAAAGAGAATGAAGTACTCAGTATTATTCTACATTATGTGTTATTCTTTTACATTTATAAAATGCCACACCGTAACGTTTTATACGTCACTGGTTTTGACTTTATTTCTTCTATAGACTGTTGACTTCTAACATATGAAAGCGTCAATTATTATTATTTCCTTTAATTCCTAGAGGAACATAGGGCTTCAGCTGCGCGTCTCCATTGCGTTCGGTTCTCTGCTAGAGTTATCACCTGGCTCCACGTCTGCCCACATGCTTTCATCTCCTCTTCACATCACCTCCTCCAAGTTACCCTTGCACTGACGACCAACTCGCCGCTTCCCTTTCAGGTTCTACTCGAGCGATGGCTTCTTTAGTGATATCACTTGGTGGTTTCCTCAGAGTATGGCCAATCCACCTCCATTTCTTCCTGCCTATTTGTTGCACGATCGGTTCCTGCTGGGTTGGTTTGCTCATTGCCAGAGATTCCTACCTGTTGCTGATCTTTTCTGGCCGGCTATCTGATCTTGAGTAGTATTGAGCGAAGACAACTGTTAATGAAGGTCTGTAGTTTGTTTGAGATGCTCTTTATGACGCTCTGGCCAAGTCTCTGATCCCTATAATGAGTAGCACTGACTGATTTCACATTGGAGTTGAAAATCCGGATGTTATTTTTGATGCTGATTAGGGCTGTTGACCTCCACACAGACTTGAGAGTAATGAAAGCTTGTCTTACTTTCCCAATTCTGGATTCGATATCCTCGTCAGTTCCGTTGGCCTGTAGTTGAAACGATGCTTCCTAGGTCGGTGGTTAGGTAAAGGAGGTTGTTTCTTTCAGGTTCCTCCCATTTATGCTGGCTGATTGTTGTCTGTTGTTGGTGGTGTTGCTGTTGCTGTTGGTGTTGGCCAGGAATGTTCATCACCTCTGTTTTATCTATGTTCACTTGAAGTCCTATCTTCTTTGGATGCTTCTTCTGCCAGCTTGTTGCTTTTTACTTGCATATCTTCCAGTTTGTGGGAAATCAGACATATATCATCGTCGAAGTCCAGATCCTCCAAGTTTTTTGTGTGAGTTCATTTTATGCCTGTTTCCTTGCTGCCCGCCGCTGTCTGTCTCATTAACCAATCTACTGCAATCATGAAAATCATTGGCGATAGTAGGCAGTCATGTCTTACGTCAATGGTGTAAATCAAATATCATGAAACATACTAAAGCAAAATAAAACAGTGTTATGTTTTGCGTAGGTTAAACATGATGAATCAAACCAGATCCTCTGTTCAAAGAATTCTTCTAAAGTTTCAAGTTATATAAAATGACAAAGACAAATAGTGATTTGTACACAAAAACTTACTGGAAACCTCCAAATCTTGATATTTACTAAGGCACTATGTCATCTGATCCTAAAACAGATCTGATCAGCTGGTAAAAACCAACCAGGAGTTTATCTAGTGTTTCAAAATTCATAATAAATAGTGGAAATAAACGAAAATTAAACATTATGCAACAAAATGTATTCTTCAGAATTTACAAAATCATGTGAAATACTTTCACGTATAAACCTAAATTCTAGTTCCAATCAAGATAAAGGTTTCAAAGTTTCTAATGTCACGGTCTATTTAAAAAAGAAATCAGAAGATGTACTCAGTATTTTTTAACAAATTAAAGTTGGAAGTGCTGTTTGGACCCACAAATTTAATTTAAGGCTAAACGATACTATAGATTCAGATAGAGAAACCACTTTCATTGTCAATTAATTACACTTTTAAAAGCTGTTATTCTAAAACGCCAAGCAATAGGCCATGTTAGTGAATGCGTTGATTTATGTCCCTTCTCTCCTGAGATAGTACTGGGTTCTTGTGTCAAAAGTAGTCATAGTTAATTTTTGTAAAAAGAGACTTAGATTACTAAAATATTGTTCATTAACTCAACGCCAATCGATAGTGATTTGGAATTAACTCAAGACAATATACGGTGAATCCCTCTTCACTAAAATTGCCGAAACATGGAACTAAAATCTATTACAGTATCTAAATGTTAGACTTATAATCTTTAAAAGATACATATAGCTAATGATTTTCACTTCGAATATGGCTGAATTATTTTAAAAATCAACAATGATTAGGCAGACCTGAGAAAATTTTCCCTTGAATATCACTCTGTTTAAATTCTCAATCGAAGTTGACCTAATTTTCTTCCTGATTTCCTAATTGCATGAAAAAATTGATCTTTTAGTGATGGTAGTTAGTTTCATTTTTAACCTGTTAATTTGTACTCAAATGATAACTTTATCAATTCTTCTAGTGGCTGATTAGTTTTGACTGATTTATCGGGCAAACCTATAGGGTAGGCTTGCTTCAAATAACACCATTTCATTGAACTTTAAAGAGGCATTACAATTTCTAATTTTCTTTTTCATACTAAGCTGGGTAAAGTCTAAGAAGTAAATTCTTTTTTTGATTACACACTAGCCAGTAACTAGTGTAATGTGTCTAGTCCTACCTTCCCTGCAGAATGAATTCTATCAGTCAAGCTTGCAATGTGGCCACCATGCTAAGTGGCTCGCCATTACGGTGCACTGTGAGATGTTGGTATTAGATGGTTGGAGGCAATCGGCCAAAGGAAGCCTTGGACCTAGGTTTCGTGCTAGTTGGCACTCATCAGCAAGGCGCATCTGCAAACTTGAAGGAACTCATGTCCCTTCTGAGATTCGAACCCGCGTCACCCAGTGAGTTCTGCAGTCAGAGACGTTACCACTGAGCTATTCGGGCTAGCGATTGACCTCCTGTAGGACTGTATTCGATATTTTTTCTTTTGATTGCACACTAGTCAATAACTAGTGTAATGTGTCTAGTCGTATCTTCGGGGCATGACACATTACACTAGTTACTGACTAGTGTGCAATCAAAAGAAAAAATATCGAATACAGTCCTACAGGAGGTCAATCGCTAGCCCGAATAGCTCAGTGGTAACGTCTCTGACTGCAGAACTCACTGGGTGACGCGGGTTCGAATCTCAGAAGGGACATGAGTTCCTTCAAGTTTGCAGATGCGCCTTGCTGATGAGTGCCAACTAGCACGAAACCTAGGTCCAAGGCTTCCTTTGGCCGATTGCCTCTAACCATCTAATAAATTATTTCTCGACCAGTAAAGTACAGCTAATTGTTGAAGAGAAAACAAGTAAATCCAAGCATTTCTGGTGATGACGATGACGATGACATTAATAAGAAAGTTTCGGAAAAAACAGAAGTGTTGAACTATTATCTCTTTCCAAAAGGATTTCCATTTTAAAATACTTCAGTTTAACATTATTTTATATATTTATGTAAACGCATACTAAGTAGAGCATAAGTATCATGAGATAAGCCACACAAAAAGAACCAGACAAAAATATAATGAAGGAGAAATATAATAACTGGTTAAATACAACATGAAAACAGGCAAGCTTACTTTCAAGAGCATTAAATGGAGCTTCCATTTCTTCGTATTGTTTTCACAAAAGAAAGAAAGCAGTAAATTGCATAATGTCCACCAGTAACTTCAATCCTCAGATAATTCTGGTAAAGTCTCATGTCACTGATTCGGAGATTCAGAGAGTAATGATAAACCAGTAGATGTTGACCCATTACAATTATCCTTCAACCTTTGGCTGCACATCATGGGCTGACGTTGTTTTTTTCTTTTTTTGCACCCAACTCAAAGGCTGGAGACATCAAAAGAATGTAATACATATACAAACCACCAAATCCGGCATCCAAATATGAAATCATTTACTAAAAGATTACCCCTACCCTACCCAAACATGAGACGTTGGGTCTCAAAACTACTTATATAGTGGCACCACTAGATGCAACGATTCTAAAGAGACAATGATAATGAAACATGTAGAGTTACCGTACATGCTCATCAGCAAAAGACTACATTTTACAGACTTACAACGAGCCTGAGTGTACTTGTGTGTTGTGAGCACGAATTTGGCAGCTAAACTGACATTGTGTAGGGGCCACTGGTAATCCAAGTGGATATATATATATATGCCACCACCAGTACTTACACAACTACCCAGATACATTCACTCCTTGGTCACTTCTAACGGTTCATTCTAAAGCGTGATTGTCAGTGAAGAATCTTTCCAATATTGCAACAGTACCTTACACCTGGACGGTACAAACACTAATCGCAGATCGGGTAGTCTGAGCGCTATATCACAGTAGTATGGTATCGTCTGCATACTCAAGGTCAAAAAGTTTTTGTCCAGAAGGAAGATCTACATCATCACCAAGCATATCCTTCCTACACTAATCTTACGTGTGTCTTTACGAATTCCTATCGTAAAAAAATGATAAAAAACAGGTAACTGAAAACATTTGTTAAGAAGAAATCATACTCCTTGTGGATGCAGTTACAAGCCTTGACTAACTGCAATATGAAGAAGAACAAAAAAGGTCTAACCTTCTGTCTTATTTGTCTTTATAGACTAATTGTTCGAAATAAAGTTGTTGGCCCAGAAGCACATTCATTTCCAAAAGCTGGTAGATCACTGATAATTTGGAATAATCCAACAAAAGACAGTGTGCATAAAGCAGACAACGCAATATGTAAGTAACTTTTTATTTCCCTAAAACTGAGTTTATGTTTGCATTTTTCTTGAAATTTGTATTGGAATCATAACTGACAAGATTATTTCACTTTCCTAAGTGACAAATATTTTTCAATAAACTATTTCTTAACAGAAAGAGGTAAATTTAGGAAATTTGGAAATGATATTTTTGTTCAGAATGACGCTAACGGTAATCATGTAAAGAAATAATACACTAGGAGGAGGTGGAGTTACTAACTTTTTGAAAGGAAGCGTAAGCTAGTCCGGTTGTACTATATGAGACAATTTAAATCGACATATGAAGATTATACGTGATGTGATTCAGAATTTATTGCAGTGGAATAGATGTAATCATAGTTTAATTTCATGATCACTTATCATGTGAATACATGGAAGATAACATAAATGGAAGTTAATGGACTGTTGTGGTGCTCTAGTTGACCAAACTAGCGTACATGTATATCTTAGTACTTCTTCGCGTTTATTATTGTGTCCTAAAGTTGTGATTACTCGACATCCACAACGTAAATCAAAAGGCACTTGAGAAGGAGTACGAACGTGTATTATCGCCGTAATCAAAATTCAAAAGTTGAGCGAGTATAATGCATCAATTCTTAACACACAATCTTTAGAGTGATAAACAAACCAAAGTCCAATTACATAGTGAAAGTGTACTACAAAGATGAGTAATAAAATGGGTCACTACAAGACTTCTTCATAATGGTATAGAACATTATACTTCCTGATAGAAAAATCTTCCATAGCTTTAATGCTCCCTTTCCTTCTTAATAAATACAAGACAGCATCATTTGTAGGCTATCTATTTATATTTCAAAAATTTAAATTAAATTTATCCAGTTTCAGACAAATAAACATTTTACAAATAATCCTTATCCAGGCACATTGATGAAAACAAAACATGTAGTTCAGTGAAGAGGTTCTTTTCGGTTAATTCATTTTCCCCTTTAGCTATACAATCGTATTTATGCACAATGTGTTTTTCATGAAAGCGAGTAGTAATAGAAGTGATGAGTTGCCACAATCATAGTTGTTAGTGTTAGTCAATGCATAGGAGGATTTGAATAAATGTATTATAGTTATGTAATAAGACGAGTGAGTTGTAATCAGGGTGCATATAAAAAAGAAGGGAAATATGGAATTCCATGAGCGTCCTAAAGAAATACAAGAGTTATAAGGAGTTAGAAAAACAAAAATCAAGTCTGTAGAAATCAACAAGGTTGTTACCATGTTAGCGGGAGTGGTTGAATAATTTTCTTTTGTGTGTGATTATACAGTAACTGTATAACACTGTGTGAGTTTATCAAACATTTTTTACTCACAATGAAATTATACTCTACCACAGTGCACAAGTTCTGTTCTCATAATACCCTAGTCAAATGCAGCTTTTTGTGTCCATTAGGGTCTTTCTAAGATATCTACTTCGGAAACTTCTTATCATTTTACAGAATTAGTAATTATTTATATTTAGTAATACTACTAATGTAGAACCTTTAATAGAATTTTTTATGACGAAATTTTCATTCTTCTTCAATTACTTCACTCGGATATTGGTGTTCTTTAGACAGTAAATTACTAGGACTAGCGTTTCTATTTAGTTGGTTGAGACAGAACTTTAAAACTATTGGTCTGAAATTATTGTCAGCATTACATTAGACTGGATCCAATGATCTTTTACCTGATTAATTAGATTTTCAAAATCGATTTCAATACTGAGGCCATTAATTTTTCTATACATGATACAGAATAAGTGTCTAAGTGCTATGATCTGTATTTGAACTGTAGATAGTGACAGAGTAATTAAACCTATCAGACGCATAAATTATAGTTTAGTGACAATAGATTACTTTTTCATTAACGATAAATTGATTCCGATTTCATTTATTCATTACTACCGCTCATACGATCTTTTTGACTCCTCCACAATTTGGAAATTGGTTAACAATTTGCAATCGACACAGTTTGAATGGTGATGTTTCACTGTAGTTTCCTTTGGAAACCAAGTTATTCAGATCAAAATATGTGAATTATTTGATACCATAAATGGTAATTTGAAAAGCAAGCACATCTGCACAGATCTATGATCTACCGATTGGTTGAGATGTTTAGTTGCATACCGTTCATATCAGCCAGTAATGTTTCCTAGCCAGATTGTGGTGATCTAAACGCCGCATGACTTTTCCGGTCGTTTGGGGCCGAGCTTATTAGTGATGTACCCATTTTGACTCAGCTCAGAGAGCCGAATCAGTTCAAACCACCTGATGTTGGTTTCCAATGAAAACTACGGTCAAATTTCATCACTAAAACTGTGCAGATTGCAAATTGTGAATTTGATTTATGGTGTGACTAGTTCGCTTATATACCTAGCCAGATATGCGATGGTTTTAATTGATTCGGCTGTCTGAGTTGAGTCAAACTGGGTACACCGCTGATAAATCCGACGTCAAACGGATGAGTAACAACAACAGTTTTATTATATTATTGTTCCCTTGGGATCCTAGTGGAAGATAGGGCTTTAACTGCACGTCTCAACTTGCTTCTGTCTTCCTTCTGCTGTACTTTTCACCTGTTAGTCCATACTGTTCCAACTTCTCTTCACACAATCTCCTCCATGTCACCCTCTCACTGACGTCCCACTCGCCGCCGCTTCTCCTTCAGCCTAGTTCCACTCGAGCAATGGCCTGACGCGCGCGCGATGTCACCCAGTGGCGGCCTCCTCAGTGAGTATCCAATCCATCTCCACTTTCTCCTGCATATTTGTTGGTTGGCGATTGGTTTGTTCTTGTTTTGTTTGTTCCCAGCCATAGTTTTTTGTTGAAGATTCTTTCTGGCAATCTGATCTTCAGTATAGAGCAAAGACAGCTGTTGATAATCTTATCAAATTTCTAACTTTGTGCCGTTGAGTACCACGCAATTTACAACTCTTATTTTTAGATTCACTTACTTTAAAATCAATTTTATAAGTGATATAGTGTCTATCATGGCATTAACGTGGTTATGTGTAAATTAATATAAAGCACTTTCAGTGTAGTATATTTAAGTACAAACATAGAAGTTAAAACAAAGCGATTTTCATTCAGTCTATTAAATGCCCTAGTCACTTTAGTCGATAAAGCTTCATAGCCTCATTGCCTCCTCTACTTAACACTTTACGTCTTACCTCATTATTACTCATCATAATGCTACATCTAATAAGCAAGTTAACGTAAGCACTTTCAGTCAAAACTGTCCAGTCTTTTCATAATGTCCGTTTTTTTGGACGTCATATATTAGTCATAATGTAGGTCAAAATACCTTGTTATTTAAGCTCAAGGCATTTATCGCTAAACTCTAATTTGATGCCTAAGAATTGAATCTGTCTCTCATTTCTTTTTATGTTTTCGTCTACTACAGAAACAAATTTGTAGCTCATCATTCATCGTGAATAGGCTAATATTTCAGTAGCTTTAGAGTGAAACTGAAGCTTTTCTGGGACATTTTAATATTAATTTGTAAAGTACAAATTCACTATTTCATTTTGGGGCTATTCTTTCATCTGTGAACCTTTTTTGCATTCAATTATTTCAGTAAGCTATTGAACATTGAATGAAAAAATGATGAGATAAAATTTCAAAAATGACCATATTTGATTGTAATGCATGTGATTTACGTGGAAAAAAATGTTAAGTATCATTCATTCTCAATGAAATTGGTTCTATTCGTTCAGAGTTAAGAATTTTTCCTGACACTGAATTCTTTTTTAATCACTAAGTGTTTTCGACACGACAGCTATATAGCCTTTCAAATGTTTCAAATGTTTTTACAATTATAAGCATTTCGAAATAACAAAACGAGTGTCTTCATACAAGCAAAGCATAAAAGCATTTACTTAGATTCCAATTATTTCTATGTTTCATGTGAAGTAATTTTATTTTTAGAAATATTGCCTAGAAAAGTTGTAATTCTCATTAATCAGCAGATCTGTATAACATGGTTCTACAGATAACGTAAATTTTCCGACTGAATCTTATTACAATGCACAGTAAGATTAAAATCAGGTGAAGATCAGTTATCGACTATTTTCCTATATTTAGTAATCACTGAAAATTGTGTTGATTTATCTTAAGCAGTATCAGTTATGCGAAAATGTATATTTTACGTCTAGTGACTAGGTTGGACGAAACACTTACACAGTGTGGCTCAGTTTTTAACATTCTTTTAAATGATTCTGATTAATGATGACAATTAACTTCAAACCGCTTGATTCTGCATAAACTGTCAATTCAAATGACAACATTAGGCCTTTATTATTATTATTTGTCCTTTGTGTTCCTAGTGGGATTTAAGAGTTTAGCTTATCATCTCCGTTACACTTAGTTCTCTGCTATCCCTCTTACCTAACTGTACAACTACCTATAAGCCTAAATTTCCTCCACACACGGTCCCTTTCTCTGTTCTCGTTTCTCCCTATTCGAGTTACGCTAGAGGGTCTGACTTATGATGTCAATCAAAGGTCTCCTCAGAGTGCGTCTAATTCATCCCCTTTTCCTTCTACATATTCCTGAGAATAGATTCTGACTGATTTCCTGCCAATCAGAGTTCCTTTATTGCACTGAATACATATGCAAATTAAAGTCTTTAGCCAGTTATAAACACTTTTCGTGATGCTTGAAGAAAGTTTGTGAAGAAAAACTAATGAGTTGCATAATATTAGGGGGATTCAAGACTAATTTGTAGAAAATGTAACAGAGAAGGAAAAATTCTAGGCTTATAAAAACCGAAAGCGAAGAGGATATATCAAAGGACTACGTAATCGAGTAAGAGGGAGAGTTAAGACATTGTGTCAACAAGGCAAAGAAGACTGATAAATACCTCTTTTTGAACACAAATCCAATTCCAGACGTTCAATAGGTATAACCCAAATAAATTTCAGAAAATAAAGGTAGAGTATTCACCTATACATCCAACAACATACCATTTCAAAGTATGGTGTAGGGAATA